CAGCATCATCCCATTGGAGTCCTGTTTGTCCGCCTAATGAATTGAAGACCAATAGCGTGCTGCAAGAATGAGTCCGAAGTGGTTATCTTGCTAAACAAAACATGTTAGTGTCATAAATGTTGGTTCGCCACAGTTTATTTTCTTCAACAATCCAATAATCCCATTGGCTTTTTCTCAAAGGAACCAGGACAATGTTAACGTTAATGTTAATGTTATAAGTTCCCCCATAATCAAACTCACTTCAGCTTTAGCAACCCAACCTTGTAGTTATAGTCATATCAAAGTCTACAATGTATGAGAGATAAAACAAAATGGGCCAAAACAAAAGTATGAGTCAGTTTTAATCATTGTACATGCAGGTTGAAACAGTTCCATTTAGATCCAGTGTTTATTCTATGTGCTGCGGTTCTCAATCCACCAGCTCAGCCTCCAGGAGATCATCGTCTGATAGGAATCACCTCAGTGCAAGTCCTTAAGACCTCTGAGGCCGAGAAAAACGTCTTAAGACACTGATTCCCAACCTGGGGGTCGCAAAGCCTTCTTGATTTTAATATATAGAAATATATATAAAATATACAGAGTAAGGCTATATCTCAGCATTTGCTTCCAAAGTAAATGAAAAGTAAATTGGCCAAGAGAGCAATGGCCAAGTGTCAGGGACAAGGAAACACTGGATTTGTCAAAAAAGAAGCCTAAGTATGTATGATTGTTCAAAAAAACAAAATAAAACATAATACAGACAGAGAACTGGAAAAAAAATCCCTAAACAGTAAATAATCTGCTCAAAATTCATCCAAATCCCTCGTTTTATACAAACTTCCTGCAGTTACTGAGTTCACTGTTTGGCTTCATTGTACAGTTTTCAATATATGAAATCTCCTTAAAATGTGTCACATGGTCAGTTTACTAAATGATAGAAAAGGGGTCGCTTGAGGAAAAATGTTGGGAACCACTGTTTTAGGAGATTTTATGAGTTAGAGGTCAGAGACTGAACATCATTTATTTTGCACCTTAATACAACAGAAGCTTAAGATTAAAGTGCCAAATTCAACAGTATTCAACATGACATAATTATGACAGAAATAAATCTAATTTTAAACAATGGGAGTGTTTTTTAATCACATTGTGATGATGAGCCAGGTGGGGTGTAGCAACAGTCTCCTCAGTCTCACTCAGTGTAGTAGTGTAAGTGAGGACAGTCTTTCTGAGGATATCTGTCCAGTCCTCACTTTAGGGTTCGGGTTAGACGTAGTTGTGATAAGGTTAGCGACTGGGCTCCTCACAAGTGCGGTGCAAAAGTTCATGCGTGTGCGTGTGTGTGTGTTTGTGTGTACACTGTCTGTGTGCTTGGGGTCTCGCTGCCAGCTGGATCAGGACATGCTGGAAGCCATGTCGGTCCATGAATACTAATAATGTGTCTGTTCACAGCATGAGCGCTGCACTCACACTGAATACTGATACACACAACAGTACAGTATGTGTACAAGCTAGCCATATGTCCACACAGGCTGTACTGTAACTGCAACACTAATGTCCATTAAGGGCCAACACAGATCCTACCTACTTGTTTACTCATGTCAAATATTGTTTAAAAAACCCAAATTCTGCTGATATTGATTATATTTAAAGATTTAAATGAACCTTTACTTATTATTAGAGGATTATTGGATTTAAAAAGAGCTGTAATCTGGTTCATTGTGCAGCCAGTTAATCTGCTCTGTGGTATCATACACAGTCTGTATGTACATACTCAAATGAACTGTCCTCCACACACTGTTCAGTTCAGCCTGAGTTCAAGTGAAGGCAGCGGAGTAGAGGAAATCAAACCCCTGAGTGAATGCGTGTGAGGAGCTGAGCCTGGTCTCGCTTTCTCTCTCTCACACACACACACACACACACCTGAATTCACCTGGGTCACTACCTTTCTGAAGGCTCTGGTTGCTTCACCCACAACTACAAAGTTAAAATGGAGCAGCTTGGAGTTGAGTAAAGAAGAAATGAAAGGGGCAGGTAACTTAAAGCTCGAGTAATCAATATTTTTTTACATTAAAGATCCCCTCCAGACGTGTATTCGATATACAAATAGCTGAACAGAATCTATGAATATGCAAATTATGTTGATTCCTTAAGGTTTCCTCTCTGATCTCTAATCTTGTATTTTTAGATTAGTTTTTTTTATGTGTGTAAATTGTCTAATTAATTGAAAATTTTTTTTGCACACCCGCTTAAACCTGAATTGCCCCTTGAGGGCCGAATAAAGTATTTTGAATTGAATAAAGAGACACAAACAAATTGCTGCTAATGTACAGTAAGCAGTCACGAGGCGACTAAATCGCAATACAAATATGTGACAGTTCAAACCAGTGGGGTGAAAATGAATGGTGATACTCTTTTTAAAACAGCAGAGGGCGCTATCTATTGTTGACTTTGCTTGTTCCTCCAGTCAGTAGCTGTATCAAAGCGCTAAGATGTCAATTTCACGAAGGAGATAAGCATAGTTGTTTTGTTCCGACTGTTTTGGGCTGTTATTGCCTGTGAACCCAGAACCGTGGACTGTATGGAACGGTTTGCTAACATGTTAGTCTCAACAAGTGTTTGCCATATTAATGCAGCTTTAAGGCGCCTGTGTGACTATGACAAATCCGTTTTGATGTGAAATATTTGGTTATAGGAAAATGAGACAATGAAAACTACTTTCCTGTGTTTTCTTATTTGGAATTATCTGTTCTGGTCAGTGTGTTCAGTCTACAGTGTTAATTGTGACCTAACTCCATCACATTCAAGTCACAACTCTCCTGTCAGGTGGCATCTTTTACCACCCACCTCCTTATAACACGTGTAATTGGTCAACTACCTCGTTACGTAAAACAAAATGACCTCAAGCTACACTTAGAGGCAACATAAATGTGATTACATTAAAACTCTTTTTTTGTATTTATTCCTTTATTCCGTCTAATGGAAAATATATAAATACAAGTCATGTACGTGTGTTTTGTGACTCAAATGAGCTGAGCTTTCCCATTGTTTAAGGTGTTGACCTATGAAAGCCAGGTTTGATCCGTCCTGCTCCTGGATCAGCTCAGCCTCGCTCTGCACCCCGGCTGCCTCTGCTCAAACACCATCGCATCAGAAACCGGCTTCAGTTGGGTCTCTTTCCTGGTGTACTGTATCGATCCTGCGGGGAGGAATCAGTCTTTTCTCTCAGCTGCCTGCACAGAGAGGTCAAAGGTCAGCGTCGGTTACAGGACAGTGACACCCGAAGCTGGTCGGCACTCAACTGCTGAATCTCAATTAGAGGAGCGTGTAAAGTCTCGTGAGAAGTCTCGACTATAACGTACGGGTATAAAGTAGAACGTATGAAGCAGTGAACACGCGTCTGACTTCCAGCAGTGGAATTCACCGGTCTACCGGATGTTTAGTGCAGATGCAGACATCTAAATAAAGACCTGATTACCACTGTGTCTGGGCACTGCAGGTTGCAGGTGTGTGTCTGGGTGCAGAGGGTCTTTAATGGACGCATTAGTCTTGTTAGATATCATTTTCCTGAAACCCTAATTGCCTAGTTTAGCATTAAAATAATGGGGAAAGTGAAATAAGGGGAGTATAGATAGATAGCAATGGGAAAATACTAAAACCTGTAATACAGTGCAAATGGAGCTGCAATAGTTACCTTAATGAGACGCTTTGGAGTTTAGCTGTGGATGTTTTTTAAGAATGTACTTTATTGCTGTAATGTTTCCTTTAACTGTATTATGAAAGTGTTTTCAGTGTTTCCACACATCACTTCAGTCATAAAATCATTTTCTGCAACATTCTCGATATTAATGCCCACATGACACTTCAGTTTTGGTACAAACACTGTTAGAATTGTTCAAACTATTACATAAAATAGATGAAACGGACAAAAGGTTTAAAACAGTAAATCACTTTTAATTTAGTTCTCTCATCGGCAGGTGAGTTCATTTTAAACATGATGACAAATGAAGTGCATCGGTAGAAGAAGCCTAACAGATTTTGATACATGATTTGATACATGCTCCATTCAGACACGTCCGTGAATCCACATATTACAAGCCAACATTATTACTCAAATAAAACCACTACAGTTCAGCTTTTGACCTGATAGAATAAAAAGATAAGACAGATCCATCGCTAGATACAACGGTGGCAGCAATACACAGGATTGCCCAAGCAGTAAAGTACACGTTCCTTTAAGAAACAGGGAGAGAGAACGCGAAAAAAAAACCTAACCTCTGGGTTTTTTAATCCCCAATTCAAGTAGTTTTTACCCTTTTTTCATGTGTTTGCGTGTTTCGACTTGTTTCTTAATAAATTCAAGTTCAGCATGAAAAACTAAACGAAAAAAAAAAACTGACAAAAAAAGGTCTGGATAATACATGTGTTGGTGGAGGAGGTGACAACGAGGAGGAAAGGAGGAATAGATGGAGGGAAAGAAAAGAGGAGTGACATTCTCGGTTCCTCAGAGGGAAACAAAAAGCAGCAGGTGAGAAAGAAGAAGAATCAGGTGGGGGGTTGGAGGGAGCTTGGGGAGGAAGAGGAGGCAGCCGTCTTCATGAGAGACAGATGTCGAGACTGGCTGATGAATTCAGCAGGAGCTGGCGTGACTTGATGGTGAAATCTCTCAACCAAACCTGCATCAATCACTAACAGAAATCCCTTCCAAATACTTCATACTCTCAGTTAGGAGGAAGAATGAGGAGGAAGAGTCAGAAATCGGGCGTGTGTGTGTAGCAACCAAAAATCTGACTTCAAACTAATAATCCCTACTGATTTCTGCTCCTATGTAAAGAAGGGTTTTTGTTCCACTTTGGGTTTGTCCAATTGGTTCCTGCTGCAGTAAAATCAACAATCACTCTGAAGTTTAATCCAAATAGTAATCTAACTCAGGTCTGAAGGCCAGCTGCCGCTCACTGCCGCTGGGCAGAGTAGCGGCCCTCGCTGGGCCCGGCGCCTCGCCCAGAGCCGAAGCTGGGTTTCTGTGCCATTCCTCCGCGGGTGGGTGGGCCTCGGGGGCCTCCGCCGCCTCCTATTCGCTCTCTGGGGCCGCCGGGACCTCCTGGACCCCGGGGCCTCATGTCCCGCCTGTCACCCTCCCTGGCCGACCGGGTCTTCTTCTCCTCCACGTTCAGACGGACGTCGCCTCTGAATTTGATGGGCTGAGCAGACGAGACATAAGCATTAAAACTCCTCACAACTTATTAAAGTTTACTTTTTCTATTCAGCACCTTCACTTTGTCTCAATATGCAAATCCCATAAAACACCACAGAGGAGCCCAGTGGGAACAATAATTACCCACAGCAAGTGCCTCAGGGTATTTCAGATATGCAAGCTGGTCTCTTAAATGAAAAGAGCTCCAGGTCTCCACAACAGAAGCCGTGTTACCTTGTTGCTGAGGATCTTCTGCACAGGTTCAGAGTCGTCAAACACCACAAAACCAAAGTTTGGTAGCTTCCCTCCACTGTTGATCCTCAGCTCCAGGACTGTACCATACTCTGCACGAGAGGGGGGGGCACACATTTTATTCAATATGAAAAAAAGTAGCTAACATTTTACCACCGAGGTTACAACACAATGCTTTATATGGAAGGTGTGCCTCTGTAATACACAGGGCTGCTGTGAATATTCAAAACACAGATTTCATCCAGTTTTAAAAATCTAAATGATCTCTTTTCACTAACATAGTAGCAGCGTCTTATATTTCTAAAGTTTTACACACGGCTCACAATCCCTCCCAGAATGTGTGTGATGTGAAATGTTTTTCTGTATCGCGTGGTTGTAAGCTGCTGCACCAGCATCATCAAATCCCACGTACGTTCAAAGAACTCCTTCAGTTCGGTCTTGTCCACGTCGTGAGGGACGTTGCCCACGAAGAGTTGCTGGGCGTCGGGGTACCTGACCACCCTGCGACCCTCGGACTCCCCCTGCTCCCCCTCCCGGACTGAAAGGACAAAATCAGCAACAGGTCAACACAGAGACATCTACACAGAGTAACTGGTTTATCAGATAAACAATGAGTCATGTACATTCAGTTTTACAATAGGCCTTTAGAACAAACACTACAAGCGATGCCATGTTGCATTTTGGTTATTCCTTTATTCTAAACGGTGTCGAGGACGCCTTTAAGGACATTTGTGACGTGTGTTACTTACTCTTCTCTAACCCACGGCATTATTAAAACGCAGGCGCTGTAGGAAGTGTACATTCTAAAGCTGGCAGCACGCTTCACACTAAACAATACATCTGATGTGATCTCGTGGGCAAAACAGCAACTGACACATACGACATCCATGTTTTAATGTGTGTGTGTGTGTGTACGTGT